TAACTTAAAACATTGATGTTTTTTTTTTTCATTAGAACACCGTAGTCTGCATAACTACTTTTGGTAATGGCATTGTATATACTGTGGCTATATAAACTTGTTAGATGTTTTGCCCTGTCACTACTGCTGTACGGGTGACCAGAGCTTAGTCAAGCTGTGCAAGCGCAGCTTTTTTTTCTGGTCCCCTATTTTCGCAGTGACAACGCGCTGTATTGTCTGAAGCGAAAATAAAATTTGATTTGATTGATTGATCAATGTTATTTAACTTAGTCCTAACTGGCCTCCCAAGTAGATTAGAAAAAATAGAAGATTTGCACCATACAATATATGCAGATGATATTACTCTGTGGCTAAGCAACGGCAGCGATGGGTCCATTGAACAACGTTTACAAGAAGCGATCGACACCGTAGAGCAATACCTAGAAGGAACTGGTCTCACGTGCTCAGCCGAAAAATCTGAGCTGCTACTATATAGAGCAACATTAAAAGGCCGACCTCCCAAGCACCACAACGCACATGCCTACACAGACATACAACTTAAAACACGAGATGGACACACCATATCCATTGTCAACAAGATAAGGGTACTGGGGTTAATAATAGAAGCCAAAGGCACCAACGGGGCAACGTTACGCAATATCAAAGCGAAGGTTTATCAAACGATGCGCCTAATCAAAAGAATTACAAATAAGCATAGCGGCATGAAAGACGCAAATGTCATAAGGCTAATCCACGCATTTGTCATCAGCCACATTACGTATGTTTCTGCATACCATAGATGGTTTGCAGCAGAAAAAATGAAATTAAACAGCCTCATAAGAAGAATCTACAAACAAGCGCTGGGGCTCATGCAAAGCACAAGTACAGAAATGCTGTTAGAGCTAGGTTTACATAATACACTTGAGGAACTGATAGAGGCGCAACGTATTGCACAGTACGAGCGCCTCTCTAAAACCAAGACAGGTAGATGCATCCTGGAAAAATTAGGAATCACTTACCACACACAATTTGGCACCAAATGCGACATTCCTCGTGACATACGGGCTAAGCTCATGGTGCCTCCATTACCTAGGAACATGCATCCCGTGCACAACGCAGGTAGAAGGCTGAGCAGAGCCAAGACGATGACAAATAGCTACGGAAACAACAAAGAAGCGGTCTTCGTAGATGCAGCTCGTTACAAACACAAAAGCTGCTTCGTTGCAGCTGTAGTGAACCACAAGAAACAATGCAGCACCAGTCTGACAATACACACGAGACACGTTGAAACGGCGGAAGAGATAGCTATAGCTTTGGCCATATCACAAACTGATGCGTGTTATATAATCAGCGATTCACAAGCAGCTGTACGCAACTTTGCAAATGGCAGAATCTCCCCTGAAGCACTGCGTATTCTTAGAACAGGCAGAACCAACCAAGACGACAGATGCGTTTGCATTCTCTGGTTCCCAGCTCGCATAGCCGACACCACGGGAGATATCAACCCTAACGAGGTGGCACACAACGTAGCCCGAGGACTTATTTTCCGGGCTACGACTAATGTTGATCCCTCGTCAGAATTTTCGAATGTGTGGCAGTTGGAGGACCGAATGACAACGTTAAATGAAATTACGAAGCATTATAAATTACAGAGGCGTGTTTACCCGCCTCCTCATCATAAACTCAACAGGGCTAAGTCTGTCCAATGGCGACAATTACAAACCAGATCCTATATAAATCCAGCGCTGCTACATGCTATGTATCCAGAGATCTATGCGACCGCTCAATGCAAAGATTGTCAGGCACGAGCTTCCTTAGAACATATACTATGGGAATGCCAGGGATTAAAACACAGTAATGAGAACGCGGCCTCCACCGACAGCCTCCGCGCGGTTGGCTGGCCGTGCTGCTTAGTTCAGTCCTGGACGATCAGCTATGGGCAATCCAGCAGGCCGAGGAAGCCGCTAGGAGGCAAGACCTTCTAGCCGACACCTAGGCGGGAGCCCTGCCCACAAACACGCCGGATACAAAATAAAGTTTATTCCTTCCTTCCTTCCATAGAAGATACATCAGCAACATACATCAGCAACATCACTCTCTGAAATCCTTTAGCATACTAAAGCTGTATGCTATTGCAATCACAAATGTAGGTAGCTAAAGCTGTTGTGTGCTTTTTTTCTTTATAATTAGCACTTCACTTATTTACTTGCCTGTCTTCAGGTTTTCACAGGTTAAAATTTGTATTGTTAGCTTTAGTCAAGCCGGAGATTTTAGCCCACTATAGGTATTAACCAGCCCAAGTTTGTGTTTCCAGCACATGGTGTACATGGAACTAATCTTAATAATACATTGTTTTGTAGAAAGGAAAGCAGTGTGAAAAAAATATAACACTTTGTATATACATACACTACAGCAGTACCAGCATGTACCAGCATTATCATGGGAGGTTCTTTGTCAAACGAGCAATCCGTAATTTAAAATTGGTTAAAAATGTGCATTGGAAAAAAAAGCGTGTTGAAGTAAGGCAGTAGTCTGAAGTACATACAATTGTTTCATTTTAGTTTATCGTATCGCCCGCCATGTGTTCACCGATGCAGGTTCCCGTTTTTTTTTTATTAATTGTGTTAGAATCTCATTAGCTTAATTTGCACATCTCGGGAGTGTTTTGTAATGGAAACAATTACAGTTTATAAAAATAGTTTCACAAAAGTTACATTAGGGTAGTTTTGATCAACCTAACATTTTATGCTAATTATAGAGCCTCATTATTTCTTTTTGTCAAGTCTGTACTCGAATTTCCCTCTATAAACTTACGCATAGCATTATCACTGGGTCAGCAACCTGTGACTCGCATGGCAGTATAAAGCGACCCACAGCACGGCGTCGAACCCCCGCTAGAGTGAACCAGAATCATAATCATCAGCCTGACTACGCTCACTGCAGGGCAAAGGCCTCTCCCATGATCCGCCAATCAACCCAGTCTTGTACTTTCTGGTGCCACATTATACCTACGGAGAAGAAGAACAACAAAACCTTATTTTGAGAGAATCGGTAGAAAAAAAGGTACTCGGGAGCATGTTGGTTGGACCCCCAAGTGGCGCAAGCCCTCACTGGCTTGCGCCACTCGCCTTACGTGACTCGGAAGCTTTTTATTATGGGACTTAATCGAGTCCCATATTTAAAGGAGCACTGACATCAAATTTCAAGATCGAGATGTGCTCATCAGTCGATCGCTTGGTGTGCGTAGGTCTTCTTGGCCAAATTTGAACGGCATCCGTCGCGTGGAAGTTATTTTAATTCGTTGTCAAACAGCGTAGAAAAGCTAAGGAGAAAGAACGGAAAATAGACTGCCCTGCGACATCGACACTAGTGCTACGTGTTCGGTGTGATACATTCCACAAATACCATCCTGAGTGACTATGCCCTAGTAGCAATGACGTGTGCGATCCGAGTGTTTTATCGTGGTGCCGAAGCTAAGAAATGCACTCGCTCGTCGCGCCTGATCTCGTCCCACTGTTTGAATGATTTCTAAAATTACTAAGAAAAAAACCACCTTTAAAAGAATGGCGAAAGAAAAGAGCATGAATAAACATGTGCTTGTCGGGCAGCATGTCGGGGAATTATTGTGAGTTGCAGTCGTCTAGTTTGAAGCACGGAAAAGCGCAATGAGGGTGTCTTTTCATATCGCGTATGTGTTGCACATGAACACGACCACAAACTATCAAAAGTGAAACAGCGTGAAATTGACTATCCAATTTCTTGCATATATTTAGCGCCACTTTATAATGTTTCACTTAATAAAAAATTACAACAGAGTCATTTTGCATAGCAGTGATTCCCAAGTTACCTAAGATCTGCGTCTTTTTTTTTTTTTGCGGGCAGTAGCGGATGGCGAAATGTATGCCACGAAATGATCTTTATTCGGTATTGCAAAGCGCCAGTACTGTGAAAGCAATCGAGTAGTTCTTATACAATAAGGCACTATGTAAAAAAAAAAACACTCTGAAAATGCAGGAAAATAATCGTTGGCCACGCGCGGCTCAGCCTCCAGCAGGCTTCGCAGCACAAGAATTGAACGCAAATGCACCTACTCGCACAGCAGCGCACCATGCGGGCGCTGCCGGCAGTCATCAGCTGTGGGGCCATCTCTTAGCCTGCGCTCGGCACACTAGGCAGTATATTTCTAGACACTGTAGTATGACATAATATAAATTTCAAATATTTTTAAAATTCGCAAACTCAATTTTAGGGCTTTCAAAAGTTTTCAACGGGCAAGGGGCATGGAGGAAGAAAAACTTATTCCTTCCTCCATGTCAAGAGATGCCCCCTTTTGCTGTTGATCACCAATACCTGTACAGTGTCAATTTTCATGAAAGGGAACACGGGAGCGCGTGGCCTACGCGCTCCGGCAGGTGTTCTGTGCTCCGGCGGCAGCTGGCAGCGAGAGACATGGACACGTTCTGTTCTTGCGCTACAACTATCGTTATGTCATACCAACTAGCCCAAACTGCCACACTTCTCTTTTCGTGTCATCTCGCGCCGAGCAAAACAATAATTCGTTGCTGATATAGAACCAGCGGCAAGATTGCGACCCCCTCTCCTTTCAAGGCGATTATGCGAGGCCTGGTAATCGCCTTGAAGGGGGAGGGTTTGCAATCTTGCCGTTCTATATCATAGAAGTGTGGCAGCTTGGGCTAGTTGGTATGACATAACGATAGTTATAGCTCGAGAACAGAACGACGACGCAGAGACAAGACGTATCCTTCTTGCCTCAGCGTCGTCGTTCTGTTCTCGCTCTATAACTATAGTCATGTTCTATATCAGCAAGCCCGCGAGATGACGCGATAAGAGACGGTGCTTGCTATCGCTCTTGCTTGAACGTGCTGCCAGCAGCCGCCGGAGCGCGCAGGCCACACGTCGCCGTGTTCCCTTCCATAAAAATTGACAGTGTACATTCGCACTGAAATGCAACACACTAACTGAATACAATGCTGTCCACAATTCTTTCACGGGTTACATACGGCTATGCATGAAGCAAGTAAGATGCAGCACATCATGGAGAAAGGAATGAAGCTTTCCTCCCTTCATACAGCACTTGAAAGATGGATCAACGCGTTTAAGGTATAGAGTTAAATATTAATCCGTGGTCATGATATTAACCAACGTTACTAGATTTTTGTAACGTTGATATTAACTTTATAGATTAAGGGACCTCAAGCTGGATGTACGATTAAAGCCCCTTGCACGATGCGGCACGATTAAACCTGGTAGGTGTTCTGTGATTTAACCATAGAGAAATAAAAAAGGTGAAGAGTGGACACTCCCGTAGACCCCAGCGGCCCAATCGACTCTAGCACACCTAGTGGTTGATGAGAGCAAGTGGCTTGCGCTTCCGGTTTCGGTTTCACTGGCGCAACTTTTGAATTACTTTGCATAACCGACGTTTGGCTATGTCGTAAGTTCATAATTTCAGACCACTATTCATCGCCCAAATGGATAGTTTTTGTAGGTCGTTTTGATTTAGCGATTCCCTGTTTTGTTTTGTTCAGTGGTTCGTGCGAATCGGTCGTGACGTAATTTTTATTTTGATTAAGTTATAAAAAAAGAGATGCAGGTAATGATAATTCACTATCGTTTTATTCATCGCGCTTGTGTTTTTCTTTTGGAACAAGTGATCAATGTATATATCAGTCAAAGAAACAGAGCATCCGCAATGTTTTATTCAAAGGCAAGGTAGAGTATGAGAATATAAAAAGCACAATATGACAAAGGTAGACAACAATGCATCTCGCCTTACAAATAAATTGTAACAAATATGTACAAATACATAGAGAACACAGACAACGCACACATCGCTAGAGTTGGCAGAAGCCGAGAAACTGGTGAAGTATGACACACCGGGCCAGTGGGTAACTAAGGATCTATGGCAAAAACATAGCGCACAATGCTGATGAGAAGGAAGAAGTGACATATACACAGCAATGAAGTCGCGAATCACGCCTGGGCTTAACTGAAATAATGCATAGAAAAAAAGAGCGCACAGAAACCACACGACACAATATAACAGAAAGGCAAAGGTGCAGTGTGCTGGCTGTGCTTAAGAACAGCTAGTCCAAAATGAAAAAAAGCAGACTTGATGCCTGCTTGTCCTCAGAAAGGTAGGGCTTTGCAGCTTGCTCACTACGTGAAAGACAAACTTTATGCTACAACACTGGCAGGTCTTGTGGCTTTTGTTATGCGTCGCCTCATCAAAACTTAAGATCCCAAGTGATTTGCGTTTGGGTGTTGCTGTGACGCTTGCGAGCTAAAATAGATTGTAGTCATCACTTTATCCAGAATTGTGGACTTTAATTGGTGCTACGAGAGCGGTATTACAGGGCTAATAAATAGCAGAAGGAAACCACTTTGGCTCATTATTTTTCACAAAGGCTCTACATCGTACGTTATCACTCACAAGCTATATAAAAATAAAATGGCAGCGTCCGCAGCCCCATCAAACACTACAAGTTTGGGTATTCTTTTGAAAATTTTGATGGGCAAGATGAGGAGGTTGATGAGAAGCTAAAATACGAAAAGCGTGATAACATGAACCGTGCCCACTTCATACTGTGTTCCTTACCCGCTCGAAGACATTTCAACAAGCGGTTTTGTTATCGATATATTACTTGAGCTGGAGAGATAAAGCATACACAGTGACCAAGCGACCCACAGTAAAGTGTACAGTTCGCCCGTATTTGCTACAAAAAATACAGACAGGATGCCCAACATTCTTTTTAAGGTTATGCAAATCACTTCGAGCGAATACACAGTGTTTGTACTCCTCATAGCGGGTAACCAAAACAATGAATGCACGAAGGAGTGGTTAGTCCAGTTGAACTGAATATAAGCATATAAGACCATAATGAAGTCTGCTGTAACGAAGTAATAACATAACAAAGCTATTGCAGGATTCGGCTCAACTCCAATACTTTAGTGTAAACCCGCCGCTAATTGCTAACCTTTGAACTTGTCAAGCTGCATGCCCGAGATTGAAGACTGGAACCTAACCCTGTCTAGTTTCGGTTCACAAAACGCACATGCCAACATAAACGAACCCGGCAAAACATTTTCAGAAACTTAGCGCGACACCCAGCAGAGCAGAAATGAAAATCGCCAACACTTGACAGATGGTGATACAAAACATCGCACACTTTCAGGTGATGTGCAGTGGCCTCAATTATGGCAAGAAAGCGAGATTCAAGTTGTTGTACGTATGCAAAAGCTGCTTCTGATGGCACAGTGAGATTCCCAAAAAGTTTGCTGGGGACGTGGTATGCTTTGAGCATTGTGAAATACTGGTGGGTACCCTTAAGCGTCTCACTGTCGTCTTTCGTAACTGTGGGCAACTGCAACCGTCACATGCATTCCGAAGGAAGTGTTTGATGAGAAAACCAGCTACATAATATGCAGCGGAGTCATCGATAATATGGGAGTGAATGTTTGTCGCAAGTTCAGAGAGATCGTCTAGAGCGGGAAAGTCGTCAGGCTGTGGCTGTGCACACTCCTCATTATCCACAAGAGACGCACTGGTGAGGGAGAATGGCGACAGCTGTTCCTGGAGGAGGTCACATTCATCATCCTCGACATTTCCGTATTCTGACAGCTTGAAGAGTTTTCTTATGCAGATGTGCTTCAGGCCACAAATAAATTGTGCTACATTGGGGTTGGTGTTGCAACCCTGTTTTTGCCTAATGTGGCCAAATATGTTCTCCAGAGGATCCTGTTGAAGCCTGCGTGTTAACAGGTATTCAAAATTGTAATTTTTGGAGAGGTCGTCCCATAGTTGACAAATTGCCTGAATTGTAATTTGCCAACCTACGATGGTTTGTGGTTGACGTCTGCCAACAACCTGCCATGATGCAATCCAGGGAAGCTGGCCTCGGAGGAAGTCAATCAGCTCTGAATCATTTTTCATGATTGCATGCCGCAGCTTTTGCGAAGTTCTTTTTTTACTCGAGCTGTTCAAGGCATCGAAAATCCTGTCCATACGATCACAAAATTGAGCTGTAGTGATGGCCGAGGCAGGCAGCACCTTCGCATACACCATTGCCGTGATAGCAATCGAAACTGATGCACTGAAGACCTGAGTTGCTCTGCTGACCTTCATATTAGAAAAAGGTTTCTGATGAACGTGCCGTTCAGTCAACTTTGGAGCCAATCGCAACCGCAACTCATGTGAGGATTGGTAAAGGCTTACAATGTGCGACCAGTTAACGATGTCATCCCCAATGTATAACTTGTGTGCTTGGACATTATTGCGCGTTGTTTAATTAAATGCGGAACATCAAAATGTAATATACCCGCTCACCATTAACTTCAAAAAAAGGCTTTGCTACAGTCACTTTTAGTTGGTTAGCGAGACTTACATTTGAACTGCCCTGTCACAAATGACTGCTTTCACTGCAATATTAATGCTCCTAAGCTCCAAAATGAGTGACAACCAGCAAGTTATGCATAACAGATGATGGTGTTGATGTGTGCCCTATAGTAAAAGCAACCGGTTGAACCCACTTTCCTCGAAACACCAACAGAAGAAAAACCAGTGCTCGATCAGCGATGGTTGAAGTGCGATGAGTGCCATCATCTGTAAAACCCTGGACAACGTCTCTTGAAGCATCATAGTACAAATTCTTTTGAGTGCTATTTCGTCGAAAACTAAAGCGCACACTCGGTCCCGTTCATTCCAAGCTTGAGTATTTGTTGCAATGGAAGAAAGGATTCCTGGAATTATGCCTGGAGTCATCTTTACATTAGCTAGCCACCTCCTTAATGAACGCCGGGAGGGCAAAGAAAAATACGGAGCCAGAAATCGGTATGCTCGCGGACCTCGGAAGTTTAAGTGACGAGCGAATTTCTTGAACCACACGGGAAACCGCTTGCCCTTGCATTTGGGCCTCAAGCGAACATGTGCAGAAAGAAGTTTAAAAACCTCCTCGGTGACGTGCGGTCGGATAACTTCAAGGGCCTTCGTAGTCGATGACGGTGCTTGTGAGGCTGTCTCTGCAGTCTTTTGATAGTTTTCCGCTGTGCTGCTACTTTGGCTTGCAGATGTTTAATGGTTTGCTTGTACTTCATTGATGGAGACATTGTCGCTGGCACACAGGAACGCACTGCAATAAACAAAAAAATTGATGTAAAAGCGAAGAACAACTAATCCCATACGAGCACTTTCCTCGCTCTTTCAGACCCAAGGTCTGAAACTTTCTGTGGTACAAAGTTTTCGATTCCACTACCTAAAACAAACCATTCACAATGTTGACAATGCACAAAAAAAATGAAAATCACTGAGAGCCCACCCTTACATTTTGTAAGTGCACACGTAGTGTCCTTTTGAGGATAGTTTCCTCAGAATGTCCTAAACATAAAATAGCACATTAAAAACTGCTGCAATAAAAGCATAGTCACCATTTTCTCTAAGGCACTCAGGCGTGGAGCTGTTGGCGGAGACGTCTTCTGGAGGGTCTTGTGAAGCTTGTTCAGTGCCTCGGACAATGCTGTCGGAACAATCTTGCGAGCGGCCTGCGGAAGTCTCTATATCAATCCACTCTGGTGTTGAAGTGAACATACAACTTACCGGCCACACAAGTTCCTTTTGTGACAGCTGAACGACTGGTTAAGGTTTTCTCCGGCAAGACGAAATCATCAGAAATTCTTTCACCAGCTACAAGGGAGCTGCCACCTGCAGAGGTTTGGTCAACAGTCAATTTGGGTAAAAAAAAAAAGAAATCGCGACACTGAACGCACCCTGTTCATCGGGGCACCTCAATGTGTGGGAGCCGCTTTCTGAAGCCTCTACCGCAGGTCCTGAAGAGATGAAATTACGACAATGTGTCAGTAAGAGGCTTATAATAACACAAACTGAAGCTCATCCGCACCTTGCAGTGCAGCTTCTGCAGCCATGTCACAGTCACTACTTGAAGCGACGCTCAGAGAACCTGCATATATGTGCAGTTGGTACAAGTTACAAAGCTTGTAGCATGGGGAAGCTTAAACAGCTCTTTCAAACGCATAAATTGGTCGAACGTGGAAGAAAAGAGACGGCACCAACTAGGAACAAGTAATTTGTGATTTTGGAATTATCAACAGTGGCAGCTTTCACTGATGAAGGTATACGTACATGTGCACTCAGGCTTGAAGATAACGTGAATAGCCCTTTAAAGTCTTTCAAACAAGTTGCGCAGGTCCAGAGCATCAAAAAATGACAGAAATGTAAAGCTGCTGTTAGGAAGGTAATAGCCCACAATTCACAGAACTTAAGACTTTCCAAGTGTTACTTCTGTAGTGAGGTTTCTCTATCGGCTACAGAGATCTTCACGGTTAACTGTCGCCACTGATTCAATACAAGTGGCTGCTATTGCACATATTTGAGTTTCAGTCAATCACTTACATGGTGCAGCTGGTTGCACACTGGAACAGCCATTCTTGTAAGCCTTGTGTGCCCAGGGTCCATGAAACTTTGAGCAGTAAAATGGTCGCTACAAACCCTGTACGTTGCGTACAATAGGCTGGCCGGCTTACTCAGGAGATCATCGCGTCCAGCATACTGCATCCATGCTTTCATCCTGCATTGGCAATGAACTATCAGCTGAAAGGGGAAGTGCTTGAATAGTGATTTTTTATTGTTACCCTCACTTAGCAAGTACGAACAGTAAGCCTACAGACATGCAAACCATACAAAAGCTTTAACACACCTGCCGTCCCGTGGTACGCGGAAGAAACTCGTCCCAGGCTTCTTGTGGGTTCTGCCATTGTTGAAGCACCACGATACACAGCAGTAGCTGCCGTAGCTTGGACCGCCGGACGGCATGGCGTCAGCGCGGTCTGAAAATGTTAGTAAGTGGATGCTTCGCTGTCAAATTACAAAAAAGATATGTGCACGTCATAAGTGTACCAGCAAACCCCTTTGAATGATTAGCTAATCGATGCACAATACAAAACCAGTGATACATCTCTGACCCATAAAACTCTGACTTACAAAGATATACGTCAAGACCACGAACAAAGATCTTCAGAAGTTTCCAGGCCGCTATCCCTTGTAATGCAATGGTATCGCGGCCTGGGAACATTAGAACACCTTCGTGCGTACGCAGTATCAGCAGTACATTGGGAAGAAAAATCGTAGTTGAAATTTGTGCGGTAAAATTATATTGGAAACGTCAAAAAAATTTGTGGGCAGCTTGCACTAGTGGCACAAGGCTAGCGAAGAAACGAAGATGATGGCCACTTGGCTATAGTCCAGATTTGCCTCCGGCACACCAAGAATTATTCGTGTTCCGAGCCTTCGGGAAATGCGTCGTGAAGCATGCGAGGCCCAACAAACGCTTCTCAATATTTTGCACCGAGCCTACGACCTAGCTGCCCAGCTATGCTCAGCGCACAGACGCTCGCGTCCGTGGCAGACGCAGCACGCGTCGCCTCGGCTTGACGCCGTGCCGCCTTTTCTATACTGCATACGTTGCACAATGTTCCCGTCTAACCGCCGCATAGAGCCACAAACTTTCTTTTTAGCGAACCTCCCAGTCCTTACAAGCTTCAGAAAAAGGTTACAACTGCGTGAATGACACGCCACGTAAGAAACAAACTCGCACACACGAAGCGCAACGTGTGTGTGTGCATCTTTCTATGTTTGTTGCATGGTGTCTTTTTCGCGCAGGCGTAACCGTTTTCTGAAAAAATGACCCAACAAGACCAACAACATGTCATTCAACAAGCTTCGCTTGAAAACGTGCCTCACCTGTTATCTCACGCTTGAAAACGCCGACGCAGCCGACGTTGACGAAAGCGACGAAGCGTCTCGCTGTCAGTCATGCATGGGCTTGTCGCTGGATAGATGGTGTTTATGACAGTACGGCTGAAGAAAAATAATCGCGTAAGGTGTGTTGAATAAATCGTTTTTATGTATAAAGAACATACCAAATTTGGACGTGTAATTATTAATTTGTGAAAACAATTCTGTTGCATTGATTATAACTGTGTTTTTTTTTGCGCTTGCGCCCTCTGACGTGTGGTGGGAGCACTAGTTCGTTACGTAGTCGTGACGCACTTCCTGAGGCCAGGTTTCGCGGAGTGTCCGCTCTTGTCTTCTTCTTTCTCTATGATTTAACTCCCTAGAGGCACGATGCTCTTAGTGCGCACTGTGCACCCCCGACAATGAAAATACTTAAATAAGTTCGTAAATAAATTAAATGGATAACATTATTTTTTTCAAGTTTTTATATATTAAAAAATATTGCTTTTTGATGTTAGGACGCTAACGCTATTACGTATCTGCGGCCATACAACGAAGGCTGGGCTTCTTTGACTGAAAAAGTCGACTCACTGCGGAGACGTTTGTTCGGTGGTCGTGAATGTCCGTTGAGTAACATTCAATAGCTGCATTCAGAAGAATTACTCCTGTAGTGCACGAGCATTTCATTTAAACATGGATGTGTTAACTGGGCAGCCCGTAATTTCTTATCATGGCGGTCCGAAGCAAGCACATTTCAATCCTTATTCTGACAACGGAGGGTATGTTTCTTCAAGTACCATGACTGCTTTCGCCACCATTTGTTTCCCCAATGATTGGGGCCCATTTTCTTTCGGTTTTCGCAGGAGCATCGTGGCCGTTGCTGGAGACGACTTTGCAGTCATTGCGTCGGACAGTCGTCTGAGCAGTGGCTATCATATTCACACGAGGGAGCAGTCTAAGTTGTTCAAGCTGTAAGCAGTTGCTACTGAGCACGACATAACAAGCATCCCACGTAATTATTAAGGATGATGGACGGGGTCTCTCATTTGAATTTAGGTCCAACCAATGTGTCCTTGGCTCTACGGGTTGCTGGTGTGACATTCTCACGTTCACGCGATTTCTGGAGGCACGAATGAAGGTAAGTACGCATGTCTCAACATGTCATATATTAGAAAATTGGTACTAACCACGGTTATTGTTTACGCAGATGTACCTGCACGAACATCACAAGTTGATGAGCACGCCCGCTGTCGCTCAACTGATTGTCACCATGCTCTATAACAAGAGGTTCTTCCCGTACTACATTTCGAACATTCTGGCGGGCCTCGATGAAGAGGGTAAACCACTGTTTGCTGTACTATTTGTATCAGGGTTCGTGTTCGCAAAAACTGTCACTTCGGCACCGATGATATTAAACGTCGCACAGCGTGGCTGGCCTTTTCTTCAGGATAAGAAGACAAGAGTGTATGAAATGAGCCAAGCAGAGTAAGAAGCAGTTGATAGTCACATGCATGTCGCATTTTCTAGTAGCTTTTACTGAACATTTACTTTACAAAACTTCAAGACACAGAAGTGTTCTGTTCAAGCAAGGGACATATAACGATCAATAACAACGGCTTTATTTCCAAAAGCTCCGAGTTTCAAATTTTGGTGCGGTGAATAAGTTTATGTTGCTGTAACTGTGTTTAGTTATGTGGTAGCACAAAAATGCAACATCTGCCACGTTATCTCTTAACATTGGTACATCTAATGGCCAAGTTAATGCTGTACAGGTATGAACCGCAAGAGCACTATTTTCTACATTTGTTAAATGTTTAGAAATATGTATCTGCATCCAAAGGTTGTATTTCGAGGTAATAACTTTGGTAATGTTGCTTTGCATGATGTAGAATCTTGTGTGTTCGTTGAGTAAAGCAACTGATTGTCCACATACTCAACGAGCCATACCGCAGACCCTGGAAGTGATATTGCTATATGCATATGGCGACGTCTCCACTTCAGAATATGGTATCAAATCAAAGTTTATTTTTCGTTCTGTAGTACAGAGAGAAAGGACTGCGAAAAAAAGTTGTGCTTTAAAACAGCTTGACTAGTTCACCGCCCCCTACAAAAAATAACTTGAAAAATAAATACAAAGCAAAAAGTCGGAGCAGTAGCAGCATCGTGGTAACCATGGAGATATAGCACCTTACGAGTAGCGTGCCATAAGCAGGCTTACTAACTGTAGTTGTGATTTAATACATATATGAACAGCACATTTAAAGTGAAATTATTACACTGTGTGGAAACGCAAATGTAGTGCAATTATTATCCAGAAGCAAAATATAAGGCACATTATATGCTACATAAAAAAAACATACATTGCAACATTATACACTATATAGATCGTAATTCCAGGAATAGCTACATGCGATTGAAAAGGAAATCTATATCTAAGAGCTTTTTTTAACTGAAAGAAAAAGTATATAACTGAATTTGCTCTTGTTTTAATGATCAAGTATTACACATTTGCAAATAATTCATGGATGTCGTGATATGAACAGTTGAATACATCAAAACCCTTCAGGTCACAGCGATTTAAAAGAGCTTGAAGAGTGTAAGATAAACAATGTTTGCCTGATTTAACCATGCTATATCAACCTCCCATTTCTCTCCTTGATGGGTGGGGTACTTTTGATTCCTTGCACGCAGGTTGGCTAGAATGCCGAAGCTTTTCATGTGCCTGAGAGTTTCTAATCTGAATTTTTGACTTAATGCATAATAATATACTTGGTGCACCTTAATTATTCCTGAGCCACAAAATAAGGGTCTAGTGGATGGCTCAAAATAAGTGTTAAATATATGCCTAGTACATTTTTTTTGAAGCATGTATATTTTATCAACTTTATTAGCTATTTCGTGCCCCATACAGTTAAATAGTGAATGATACAGCAAAAGCTTAATTCTTTTTGGAAGCAAACACCGAATTCAACCCATTACACCTGTTAGCTGAGCTAATTTTTGCAAGACATTCCACATAATAATTTCAGGTCATGTTCTTTGAAAAAATTGTGCCAAGACATTTAAAATGGTTAAATATCACAATTTTACGAGTACTCAGTAATATATCAAGATAAGGTGGAATTATTTTGATCTTAGTTAGAAATATAACAGCTTTTGTTTTGTTTTTGTTAATATGCATACCATTTGCTGCTGACTATCTTTCTAGCGTTATCATTGTATTGTTGCAAGTTCTTATAAGCTTGTTAATGTCATGGCCTGAAAAGAATATACTAGTATCTTCGGCATATATGATATATTTGGCCTTGGAAATATTTATAATATCGTAAAGACATATGTTGAATAATAGTGGTCCCAATATGCTGCCTTGAAGCACTCCACATAGTACAGGATGCAAGCTGGAGAAAGAGTTCTTGATAGATAAAACTTGTCGTCTGCTGGATAAGTAAGAGTCCATAAGCAATAGGGCCTGGCTTTGAATACCATAGTAGTGTAATGTATTTAGCAATATTTCATGGTTAACTATGTTAAATACCCTGTAAAAACCAACAAAAATGCCAAAAATGAGTGCCTTTTCTTCGAATTTTGTAAGTATGTTTTTTTGCTCCAGAAGTGCCAGCTCAGCAGATTTATTTTGTCTAAATTCATGCTGAGCAGGCACAAATAAATTGTGCTTTTTAATAGAAATTGAAATTCGAGTGTGTAGAAGTTTTTCAAAGGCCTTTGAGAACACAGGCAAAATCAAAACATGTCTATAATAGCCTAAATCATTTCGATCACCCTTTTATAAGGCATAGTCACTTTTTCCGCGTGCTTGTTGACAGGCAAACCGAACTTCGTTAAGCAGACATTAAAAATATGTGCCAAAATGGGAGCAATAATGTCATAGGCTTCCTTGATAGGGCGTATTTGAATTCCATCGACATCACAACTGGTACTATTTTTTATACCCTTTATTGTTGACGAAACTTCATGGGCGGTGATACGAGATAAGAACAACAACCGAACATTTCGATTTTTAATGTACTCGCAAGCATCATCCGCGCTTCCGGTTGTAGCCATGTGAGTGAAAACAATATTAAAGGCGTCGGCCAATTCTTACCCCTCTACATCTTTGCCGTTGATTTTAAACTCTAAAACAGAGGCGGTACTTCGACCACGATGAGGGAGCTTGTTTAGTATAGCCCATAAAACGTTGGAGCGATTACCAGGAACAAGATATGTAGCTTGATAGAGTGTTCTCACGGACTGTAAACAACTTGTAAGTCTGTTGCGATAGCTCTTGAAGACCGCAGGTCCTCCGGTAAACGTGTTTGCAGAAAGGTTTGGTAAAGTTTATCTTTTTTCATTTGATCATGCAACTCGGGAGTTATCCAAGGTTTTCATATTTTGCGATTTAATTTGCATTCTTTTAGTGGGAAATGCACATGATATGTTTGTTTGAAAATTGCTAGAAATTTTTCGTAAGCGTCATCTGCATCTGCAATTTTCGTTATATTGGCCCACTCTATCTGCAACAGATTTTCACGAAATGCACCTAGTGCTTTTTCCGTAATTGATTGAAACATGATTATCTGAGGCTTTGTTTTATATCGTCATTTTCTCTGCACATAAAAATACTGGAAGATGGTCACTGATACAATACGATAGAACACCCGACTTAATAATTATTTCGAGCGAATTTCTGACAAAAAGATCAAGAAGTGACTCGTACTCAAAGGTCATGTCATGAAGGTGCCTTTCTTGGCAGCATGATTCGCTTTCATCCTTGCATAACCATGACATAATGGGCTAAAGTTTAAAGTTTCTTCAGTGCGTTGAGTATACCATGACATACCTTAGGCCGCCACTGTCAGTGACTGCTTCTTGACTGATCACAAGACGCAGGATGCAAAAGCTGTGTAATATTAATTTCACGTATGCTTGCTGTCTTTACATGCATTGCCCTTCTTACATGGTTGCCAGGCAGTTCTATGCTTTGCGTAGGGTGTAATGGTCTAAAAAGTGTGTAGTGATATCGGTTCTAGTTCTGTTCAACTGTAGTGTAAAACAACAAAGGCTTCTGGAGGAAAGTCTGTTGCCTCATTTTATTCAACTGGTGTTTTTGTATGAGCATTGTTTTTGGATTTTACTTTAGGCAAGGAGGCTATACTAAATCCTCTGAAGTGGCATTGGTGCTCCCGGTGCCTCTGCAAATTGCTCAGGTCAGAAAGTGGCAAGCAGCAATGTGCTATGTGAAAGCATGTGTGGTGTTTATAGAATCAGATTTAGCTGCTCGCCTTTTTAGGGGATGGGGTGGTTGCTTGGCAGATTATGACATGTGAAGAACAATCATCGTTCATCTTATCACCTGTCATTCGTGCGCGCCATTCACTTCCATCATTGTATGTAGTGAGGAAATCAACCTTAGCATAGACACAATGAATGATAATCTGACGAGTATCATTACGGAGTGTGAAGTGGAAGTTGGAGGCATGGTAATTAGACAGGACACTGGCAAGCTTTCCCAGGGAACGAAGAATCTGATTAAGAAGCGTCAAATCATGAAAGTCTCAAGTACAACAGACAAAATAGAACTGGGCAGAGCTTTCGAAGTTGATTAATAGGCATAAGGTGTGCGATGTAAGCAGGTGTAACATGGAGAGAATTGAACACGTTCTGAAAAAAAGAGGAAGCGTCAAAGCAGTGAAGAGAAAACTTGGGATAGGCAAAAATCGGATGTATGCACTAAGGGACAAAAAATGCAGAATAACTACCAATATGGATGGGATAGGTAATATAGCGGAGGAGTTTTACAGAGATCTGTACAGTAGCTGGGACAACCACGACCTTTATGCTATAAGAACTAGCAGTAACTTGGATGATTGATGATTGATTTGTGGGATTTAACGTCCCAAAACCACCATATGATTATGAGAGATGCCGTAGTGGAGGGCTCCGGAAATTTCGACCACCTGGGGTTCTTTAACGTGCACCCAAATCTGAGTACACGGGCCTACAACATTTCCGCCTCCATCGAAAATGCAGCCGCCACAGCCGGGATTTGAACCCGCGACCTGCGGGTTAGCAGCAGAGTACCTTAGCCACTAGACCACCGTGGCGGGGCGTAACTCGGATGACACCCCACCAGTAATGATAGAAGAAGTCAGAAAAGCTTTGGAGAGCATGCAAAAAGGCAAAGCTGCTAGTGAGGATCAGGTAACATCAGATCTGCTGAAAGATGGAGGACAGATTGTGTTAGAAAAACTAGCCACCCTGTTTTACGAGGTGTCTCCTGACGGGAAGAGTACCAGAGTCTTGGAAGAACGCTGACATCATCTTAATACATAAGAAAGGG